CCTCATGGGTGGAGGGGTGGTGGTGGGCTGTCTTCACTTGTCTCCATTCTACTTTTCATTTTTAATATTGGCATTTCCTCACATTTTTCAATAACATGAAAAATATTGTATCTTTCATGTGTTTCTCCCTTTCTTCATCGCTTTTGTTTCACTAGACACAAAACACAGGGTTTTTCCCCCAGCAATTTGTAGTTGATTTTTGGGCAATCATCTGTGGTTTTCCTAATCGCCAAGTAGATAAAAATATTTTTTCACATGTAGAAAATTTTAGCTAAGGAAAACATAGAAAGTTGGAATTACTATTATTACATGAGTTAAATTTACACTTATTATTCAACTTCTTGCCTTTTTTTTTTTTTTTTTTTTTTTAACACATTTTTTTTTTTAACACACTTTGAATTTTTACTTTTCAGGTCACCGATGCCCTGCTGCTGTGCAGCTTTTCTGCCTGCTGAGTAGGTGCCTTGACTCCTACAGATAATCAACACCCATCTAGGGCAGACTGATTCTCAGCATTTAATTACCAGCATTAAATGCTGCCAGATGCGATAAAACCTGCTGCCCTCTAAAGCCACTGGCCTGCTGACTGGAAGCAGATGTTACACCAATCATTTTCTGGCGGATAAAATGACTTAGGGTCACTTTAATCACAGAACAAAATTACTGCTGTCCTTCACTGTAAGTAGACGAAGGATCCATATTATAGTTTAGGATATGCAGTGATGTGTATTTAGGTTCAACACCAGGTCTTTAACACCATTGTGGCGTGCTGGGAAGTTTACTATTACAGTGCTGTATATTTACTGTAAAACTTAAGGCTGTTTAACCAATGTTTCCCTCTAAAAGAGAAAGTTCATGCAAAGAGCTTGAAATAGTCTTTTACCCCATCATGAAAAAAACTAAACCCCTCAGATAACCAAATCACTGTATATTCATAGCATAACATGGCTCCCTCCGGGAATTGCAGGGAGCTGGGTCTATCTTTTTAATGAAAAGACAGTGATCCTTTGGCCCTGTCAGCGCTGCATCAATACAAGAAATCACAACACCCCAAAACCACTTGTGTCTTGGCTGGAGAATCAGAAGAAATGACCAAACACCATTGTAAAATCTCAGGTGACAGTAATTCTCCAAACTGGAAGCAAGGCTTGGCTGAAATTTCTTTTTAACTTCTCTGTTCCTTCTGTACAAGGGACATACGAAGGACCATGGACCACAGTAATCAAGCAACCTAGTTCACAGAAAAGCAAATATAGGAATGGAATTAAATTAGTGGTTTGCTACAGAGAAGACCTGCAACAGCAAACCGGAATGGAATATCATCATCTTCCCTTCCTTTAGCGAAATGGCCACCGGTATTAAGTATACATCTTCAAATCTATGCCACAAAGAGCTTGCTGATATCAAACAAATCAAATGCCCATTCCGTTTATTTCGTATGACTGGAAATAAGTTCACAATTTTCTGTAGAACATACAGGAAAGAGGTACTCTAAGACAACTTGCAGTTCTACTGAATGGAGAAACAGTGGGATTAGAATAACAATTTGCTATTGCATCTTAAAGGAAGCAAGGACTTGGGGGAGACTCCATATCCAAAACAGGAACATTTTCAAGTGTTTTCCAGAGTTGAGACAGCTACTTTTGCTCCTAATTCATGAAAAGTAATCAGCAGAACCTGACTCCTAAATCCTCTAGTCACCTTTGAAAATAAAACTTGAAGCCTAATAATTATACTGCAAAGACAGTCAGAACAGAAAGATTATTTTTTCTTTTTCCAAACAGATCATAGCCTGTGATTGGAAATGTGATCTGTAAGAGCAGAATAATTTTAAGCAGGAGATTTTGCTGTTCTTCAGCTTTTTGTTGAGCTTATTCTCATGAATATTTTCCTCCCCAAGCCAAAATTCTCACTGAAGATACTATTGCATCATCAGTATGTTTCTTATCCACTCCTTCTTACAGACTAATGAAGATTAACTGATACTTATAAATTGAAGATATTGAGTACAATGTAAGAGGTAAGTATTATTAAGCAACACATTTTAAGCAATTCAGCCTAAAGAAATGGAAACATGACACAGAGAGCACATCAGCAGAAAAAGCATTAACCCTGTCTTGAAAAGGACAGGAGAACCCAGATGAGATTCTGCTTAAATATATTGACCAAAATATAACAATTCTGCATGACTACCTGGGAGAATGATCTTGTGGTAGCACTTCTCTGGTAGCAATTATTTCAATAACAGTAAGGATACAGAGATCTATTAATAAGAATGTTTGAGTGTATGTTATTACTGGATCAATAAAAATACACAGCATCATTTTCTGTAAGTCCTTCTGAGGAAAAAATCTCTACCACAGAAGTAAAAAAATCTACTTTTTGTGAAGATGCAAATAGCTTTACACAAATATCACTAGTCATGCCAGAATGAATTTGATATTATTTTCACATTCAAAGCATAAAAACATATTACTGTGCCAAACAGACTTATGATAATGTGAAAATAAGTTATGCTACTTTTAAAGAAAAGTCTTTCAGTTTTTATTTTCCGTCGGTAAGTGTAAATCTACTTCAGAAATTCAGTATGAAATAGAAATTTCCTGCCAGGAAACTGCATAGAAACACTAATAACCTTTTAAAAATATTAAAGGAATGACAGAAGTCAAATAAAAGAAAAACTAGAAACTTACACACTGTCTGGCTTTTAATACATGGATGTAGCTTAAGATCAATGGACCTCTGGAAATACAACAGTATGCTTGCACACCATGAGTTAATAGTATGAGAATAAAGTCTACAACAGTCAGCATGAATCAATTCAGTCCTAGAGCTGTTAACATTGCAATTCCACTATTTTTTTTCTGTACACGACACAATCCTGTAGCTACTGTAAAAGAAATCCTATGACGCTCACATATTGCTCCTATTACTAGGAATAATAAAAACAAGACAGTAGTTAGAAAACTGCCGCTTCCTTCACAGTCTGTGCAATCTATTGGGGACTTGGAAATTTGAAAATAATAGGTGGACACAAAAGAAGGGTGACAGAACTTTAAAGCAACTGCCTGGCAGTTTCAGAGTCCAGACAACTGCGTATTTTTCAGGCTCACTTGCCAGGACACAGAGGCTGCCCTAGAGCTTGCTATGTGGAGTGTGTGGTAACAGGGCATTCAAGTAGTAAAAGTATCTTTGCAACAGCTCAAGAAATCAAATCTACTCATATATAAGGATCTCAGTCACCTTATATTTAGTTTGGCAGTTATGCACTGCTAATAATCTTAAAGGACTAACCTGATATTCATAAACGCAATATTACAATGTGTTCATGTTTTGCAAAATGAGAGACCTATTTTATCTACCTCAATTCTCATACCAGACCTGTGATCACTGTATTTGAGTGTCCATTCATTCCACGACCTCAAAGTAACACCAAAAGTAAACAAACATGAGTGTTGGTTGCTAAGCATATAAAGCACTGTTAAAAAGTAAGTTTCATTTTGCTATAAAACCCCAACATTTTCTAATATACACTGCAAGTGTCACAGAACAGATTTTTTTTTTGGGTTGCCAGAGTCTAGGTGTGTAGGATCATTTACCTTTCACAGACAAGGGGCCTGGATTCATTCAGAACTGGACCCAGGGATGAGCAAGGCTGCCGAGGCGGCGGTGCTATCGGAACAGAGGAATCCAGGGAACTTGTTTTCCGATGCAGCGTCTCCTGTGCCAGTCCAGAGACCTCACTGTCGGTGGGACAGGATCCAGCTTTGCTGTGACCGCCTGCTGATGGAAGCTCTGGCCCGACTGCACCTTGCAGGGCTAACTCTGCGGCTGCTTGCTCAGCCTCCAGTGTTGGTGATGCTGGAGGTGACAATCGGGGCTTGCGTTTAGCAGATGCTCCAGAAAGCAGTTTCAGCAAACCTTTTTTTTCTTTCTGTAAACCAAAAGCAGTGCCTCATTTTAGAACAAAAGTCTCCCGTGAAGAGTTGAACACTTCCTTCTGATAGATGCCATTGTGATCAGACACGACTCAGTAAATGAGATATTTGAAATTGTACAGATGACAAAAAATAATTATGAAAATTATAAAAGAGAAAGATAATTAGTAAAATTTGAAAGAGAAAAACGGTAAGTTTCACTTAGTTAAGGCTTACTTTAAAAGCCAATGGCACTGGCCCAAAAGTCTGTCTAGAAATAAGAGTGAGGAGTTAGATTCCCACAATGGGAATCTAAGAAATAAAACATTTTGTTAACATGGACGTTTCTAGGAAGGCATAAAGAGTTGTTTCAAACCAAGCAGGCAGGAAAGTCTGCCCTGGAGGCTGCTGTTTAGATAAGTGTCTTTTACTTATCCTGCCTCAGTAAGAGAAGACCTTCATGATTTAACAGAAATTTGCCACAAGGGGAATGTATTGTGTTTTGCTGCTCTGCTAGAGGGGAGAATTGTAAACATTCCTTCTGCTTGTCCAGACAGGAATCCCTGAAGACTATTACTTACCCTGAAGAGAATTATTTAAGTAGCTTTTGTGTTTCTTGTCTTTTTTTTTTTTTTAAGGGGTGTGGCAGTGATCTTCTTACCAACCCTTTGACTGAGTGAATTTAGTGCTTATGAGAGGTGCCAGATTGTAAGCCCTGGAGACAAAAATAAGCTATTTAACCACAGAAAGAGAAAAGCCTGAGCAATGTGAGATTTTTATTATAGCTTGGGATGCAGGAGAATTGGTGAGCAGTGAATGAAAAATTCTCTGTCCTTCTTCCAAGTCTCCAATAACTTAAAGCTATTTCAGCAAAGAACTGCTGTCTAGCAAATGTGAAAGAAAAAAAGAGAAACTCAAAGAAATTAACGCAGTCCAAATATGTTAGCATCTTTAACCTTAAACTATAAATAAGTTTTCTAAAAGCACTGCCTAAGGACACCTCAATCTGATTTCAGTGGCTATGGCTAAAGTAATTTTAAAACAAAGTTCTAGGTACCTCCATTTAACAATGATCAACAGAAATAATTAAAAAGTGGGTGAGATTAGTGCACAGCCTATGATTAAAACCATCATTAAGGAGTGCACATGGGTGAAAACTAGTAAGGTAAAACTCAAAAACATTTGAGATGTAAAGAAGGTTGTCAAAAGGAGAAAAAAAATTCTAACTACCTCACAATTGTAAAACAAAACCAGTTGGAAAGTTGGAGGAATGGTTCTGCCTACAATATAACATAATCACATGGCTTGTTGGACAGTGAGAATGACTTTAGACACAGGAAAATACTTCAAATAGAAGAAAGGAAAGCAGAAGCACTACATGCTCAACTGATCTACATTTAGAAAAGCCAGAGTTACATGCTTTTTTTTCTTTGTCCAATGAACATTGCTGGTAATGTGTTTTTCATAATCTCTCAGTGTGTCTGCTTAATAAGGCAGGCAACCTAAAAGAATACTGATTTTTCACTAAATATTAGGTTTATTTTATTAGACTGAATTTTTTATGTTCCTGCAAGTTCATAGTTTTTTTGGTTTGGTTTTTTGTTTGGTTGTTGGTTTTTGTTTGTTTTTTTTTCTTTTCGTTTCTCATTACAGGCTTATTAGTTTACAGATACTTACTGATAACATTTGCTAACCATACAACTTTCTAAAGTATTCAGGAAACTGACTGCAGGTAAAGAAAAAAACCAAAATACTTAGAATTCCAACAGTTAACCCAGTAATTCTTCTGAACTTTATCCATTTACCTTTTGTTTTTCCTGCTTAAGGCATGAACCTGCTACCCTATTTTAATCCTTCTCCAAGGTCTGCTCTGTATTTTATCCATCCTGAATTATTCTTGTATGGCCAAGAATAAACTTGCCCATAGCTGTAGTCACAAAATGGCTGAGTTTCAGGCTCAGTCTTAAAAACCTTACAATGCCGCTATTCAGCAAGTGTAAGAAAAAAACACAGATCTCTTAAAAGTTTGCATGATGAAAATGGCAGAATTCAAGGGAGTGATTTTATTCTCTACTCACCTTGCCATCCTTGTCCACTTTACTGACAGCAGCATTTCCACCAGCTGCTAAAGCACTCTCTGGAGATGCAGGGTGAGTGTTTACAGTTCTCCCACTAATATCTCCGTCCAAAGATGAAGCAGCAATGTTGGGAGAATTCAAAGAAGCTGCTGCACATGCCAGTGGGATGGTTGAGCGGTTCGCATTCACAGCCGTGATGTAAGCAGCAGTATTTGGAAGCTGGGGCTGGAGCTGCTGGGAATGGTGGGGAATGATCACGGCTGCAGGAATAAGGCATGCTGGACTCTGTGCTTGTATGGGTGTGACTGCTGCTGTAGGTCTTTCTTGACTGTGTGCAGTAACTAGAACGAAAGAATAAAATGTGAGAGGGCTCATCTTTTCACACGACACACAAAGCGAGGTACAGTCCCTGTTATAGCTAATCAGTCATAAGAAGCTTCCTTCCTATCTGCATAACTTCCATTTATATTACTCTAATGACATCTTAAGACAGCACCAAATTTATCTCACCAGAATCAAGTAGCAGCATATGCTACAAATAGAAGAATAACAGCACTGCAACTCTTGTGGAGAAATCCAAGTTGCTATGTAAAACGCTTCACATACAGACAGAGATGCAAAGTGAAGATTACATTTTAGTTCATAAGAGCTAGCTAAACCCTGCCTGGAACTTGTTTGTTCCTTTTAATATCCTGTGTAGTTGTCAGGGCGCATAAAACAAAGTAGGAAGAAACACTCCTTATAGAAGCTGCTAAAAATAATTGGATTGTTTTCCCTAAACTATTCACAAAATCCACAACAGATTTAGTGGGCCTTTCAAACAATAAGTACAGTGGCAATTACTGCTATGAGTGGTTTCTCTGAAAATGTAAGCTATTGTCTCTTGGCATGTTTAAATATAGAAGTGGATTTACCCATACCCCTGTGAAATAAAAGGAACATCTACACTGGAAGTTGGAGAATAGCACAGGGCTGAATATACTAACCTGGGCTGCAGCCTAGCTGCAAAGCACAGAGCTCTGCATGAACTACTTTATCCTTTCCAAGAAGCAACACTGCTATTATAGTTATATGGTCAACCATACATGCTTTTGGATCATTTCAACAGCTTGGGTACCTCTGCACCATTGGGTGGTATGAAGACATCCTAACCAAAAAATATAAGGCAAAATGCAGCATCTCAGTGCTGCACAGACTCCTTCCTTCAAATAGTCCGAAACTTAGTATCTGAGGAGGGGTCATCCCTCTATCTTGGTGCATGTATCTCAAAGGTATCAATTCAGTCTGATTTTTAGAGTTTCAGGCTTGTTACAAATGATAGCCTGGAATCAAGCCTCCAGCACTTATTCCCTTTTATTCTGCTCTCTACAAATTCTCCTGGTAATTTGGTTAGATTGCATCAACAGTATATTAGAGAAGACTGACAGAAGTTCACAAATTTGATATAACAATCCTACAGTATTATACACAATTACAGTCTCTATGATAAGAGCCACACATTCTTTCTTAAAAAGAAAGCACCACTAAATGCTATGTCTATTTTCTGATATGTAGCGTCTTCCCCTGTAGCAGACCCTTCCTAACTCTGAGTACCATGAACATTTCAAAAAAGAAGATAAGGAGAGTGCAGCAAGATTTTTTTTTGTAAAAAACAATTACTAACACTGCCATTTGTTCATGAGACAAAGTCACTTTTCTTACAGGTAGCTGCTGTTCTTCAAGATACGTCTATACTTACATGCACTCAATGGAGTACAAGCATGGAATTAGCTTTCTGGTTTTGTTTTCTTATCCCTGATGGAATCTGTAGGAAAAATGCTTTGAGTCACCCTAATTTTCATACAGTTCATCCTTTAATGAAACCATTTTCTTCCCGGTTCTTTTCAATCAAAGAATGCATAACCCCTCAGCGAGGGGTGATGTCAAGCAATGTCTCCCTAAAATCATTTGAAGAAGGGTCCTTGAAGTCCTCAACTAAACTGAAACTGAAGAACAGCCCTGCAAAATGCAGCACTGGTCTGTGAAGCCTCATCAAAAGGGTAACATTCAGCAAAGGTGCTAGGGAAACCTCAAGATGATCACGTTTCAGATGCTGACTATAAAGTTCTCTGTAACATTTGAATATAACGCAGACATTACTGCTTCAATTCTCAGGCCCTTGTAAGGGACAGATCTGTTTTTGTGACTGAACAGTACACCTTTACACTGCAATCTAATGTTAAATTCCCTGTGAAGAGAGTGCAGTCCCTTTGATTTTTCCATTTTGGACCTGAAAAGTTGATGGGAAGTATGTTGTCATGTTTTCCAGCTGAATGGAACTGTAACAGCTTATTCATCTTGACAGTGGTGCGGAGATGTGGGGACATAAAGGCCTCTGGAGCCCACAGGAGCTTTTCTCCTTTGTGTTGTCACTTTTGAGCTTCTACGCAACTCAAAAGAAGGATTTAGAGTAGAAACCTCCTATGCCTGAGAGGCAGGAAAGTACAGATGCTTTGCTTAGTTTCTCTTACCAGACGCCAATAGCACCTGGCTATTTTTATTTAAAGGTAAAGAATAAAGCTGTTACAGACAACTATCGTATGTGTTCCAGCCTAACATCAGACTGGAGGAAGATGGGGCCAATTAAGGAAATACCTGAAGCCATACGTACATACCCTACTTCCAAAATGAAACCTGGTGCTGACATCTAAACATGCACAGGGTGTTTTAGGAGATCCATGACTCTGAAGAGGGAATGGGCTAATTCATGGATGTTGAGACCATAAGAAACAATCATCCTTAAGGGGATAACAGATAATACCATTTGCATCTTTTGCTTTCTCTTCTGCTCTGTCAATAAGAATCTTGTGATTAAAAAAAAAACACCTTTGTCACAGCTCTCAGCCAAGAGACCTTAGGCCCCAAATTCAAGGCTGAAAGAGGGAACACTGGGATAGTTTGAAAGGGAATATTTTTTTTTCTTTTCTTTTGAGGCCATAGAAGCAACTGGAACAGATTAGGCTCCAGTTGTGTGGTATTTTCCCAGCCTGGCAAATCCACAGAGGAGTGCATGGATTGGGTAAACAAAAACTCTTGAAAACACCACTATCAATCTTTTTAGATCTGGGTTTAAATAACAAGAAGGCATGTTTCACTATGATGTGGCCTGCCCCAGACAGTAAAGGCAGAGTTATACCTGTCAGAAATACAGATTTTTATGACATAGATGGTATGAAGCCAGTATAGCCTTAGTGCTTCAGAGCCAAAGCTGAAAGAAGTTGCAGTCAAGTTTAGAGAACAAACTGGAACGCCGAAGGACCAACCCTGAGCCAGAGTCCTGAAAATGAAGGAGGAATGAATGCTAGAGGTCTTCAAAGATGTTAGGAGAAAACTGAACAGTGAATGCTAAATTACAGCAATCTGTGGCTGTTACGCAGTCAATATGAAAAAATAAGCTATGACTCAGATGTTCTTACCACTTTTATTACTATATGAATTGCATACGAATGGGGAAGCTCAAAGAATGTCCCCATCCCAGATACTGCTGGAATAAAAAAAATTCCATCTAAAGTACATGCATATAAATTCCCAACAGTACGAGTACGTATGTACGCACAGCTGCTTAGAGGAGAATAATAAAAGATTCAACAATTTAGAGATATATATTGTCATTTCAGAAAGCATTCAACTCAAAAAAAACACAAGATAAAAAATGCTTTTAAAAAACCCAACACGTATTTACACATACCCTGACTCCAGCCACTTGCGCAGACAAACCCTACAGTTTGTCTACCACACATAAAAAGCTTTATTTTATTTTTTTACCTGTTCTAACTGCATTGCGAGCCTGGTTGACTGTCATTTGTCCTGTCACGTGCATAAGGACTTTAGTTTGCGGACTAGTTTGGATATGTGCTGCAGAAACCACAGCTGTGGGTACTGTGCTTGAGTTCACTGCCACACCATTCCCCTGGAGCTTCTGAGATGTTCCACTAGCAGTGGAAGGGCTGACCATAGTCACTACTCGTCCCGTTTGGCCAGCGGTAGACATGGGAACTTTTGTTTGTGATGCACTTGTCACTGTCCTGCCAAAATTAAAAAGCAAAACACTAAAACACAACTGAAAAAATGAGCTAGTTACTAAAACCCGTAGCTCTTCTATTATCCAATTTTAGCATTAAATAGAAGAATGGAATCATTTTGGACTTGAAATTAGATAAACTATTTAGACACTTGTATAAAAATATACCTTGTAACTGGAGCCACATAATTTCCCGGAAAAACACCAATCTTGCTTGTATGCATGGAAGTTCCCTTGAACCAGCCATCTTGACAGCGTTCAAACACTAAGAACATTTCTCCCTTACGCAGTTCCAGTTCATCATCTTTTCGAGGAGTGTAAGGGTATATAGCAATATACCTAAAAGACAGGAAAGTAGATGCAATTGATAAACCTAAAACAACTGCAAACATCACTTATATTTTCTGGCAGAGAGAGTTCATCCAGAGACGAGAAGGCATGACAGAAAGGGTTATGTGTTAGTTGATCAATCATATAGTTTTAACATTAAAATAGAAGTTATGTCACTATTAAGGAAATAATGACCATTAAGAATATCCTTATAACTCCACTTTAATGTAATGTACAATACTTCTAATAAGATTGTCCATTTTCTTAATTAAGTTAGTGAACTTAATTAAATAGGTGTTTATCAGCTACAGATCCCAGCATATCCCACTTCTCTCTCCTTACACCTGCTTCTCGTATCTCTTACACTTTGTGACATACAAAATTTTTGTTTTTCTGGGGGAGGTGGGGAGCATGGAGAAGTTGTTAGTTGGGAGTGAAAGATCAGTATCAGAACTACTTTTCAAATTGCAAAATTGGAATCTCCTTGTGCAACTGCAGTGCCAAAAAAAAGATGCGTTACTAGAGCTTGAAGTCTATGGGTAAGGTATCCAACAGTTATTCACGTGTAAAGGTCACTTCCTTTTTTATCCTTCTAAGCAACATTAATGCATAATACAGTGCATCTGAAATCATACTGAGAGCTCAGAAACGTTATGCATTTTTTCTTTTGAAAAAAAACATGCTTAGGAAAAAAAAAAAAGGTAAAAATAAAACTGAAGCTCCTGCAGTTGCATGCTGGAATATTCCTAGGGAAGTCTTCAAATAAGATTGCACAATTTCCTATTATGATGTTAAAAAGCGACATTGTTTTAACCACCACTGTTCTATTTTCTGCCACCAGAAAACTGTTTAAACCATTTATATAAAAATGTTTATATAATTATGGATTCAGACCTATGGGAAAGAGCATTCTAATAAATCACATTTTCTCAAAAAGAATACACTTTTCACAAAAGGACCCACAATTACTTGCAATGCTACTCTTGCCCACTCCCCTTGCTACCCCAAGGGTAGAAAAGCAGCTTTACAGAACATTCTCCCATCAAAATTGTCTCTTGTGCACAGTAACGACAGCGTTAACTGTATGCTTCTCTTTTTTGCATTATGTTTTTGTTCCTTGCTGTCCACACAGGAAACTTTGCATTATCTGCAAAAATGCTTTAAAGGCAATATAGGTACCTGGTAAAGCAAGTCCAAAACATGCTTTAAAGGCAACATATGACACACTGGCAACAAAATGCTTCACTGGTACATGGTTTAGGGGTGATCTACAGGCCACATACTGAAGCTCTATGGGAAAGCAAGTGATGTGCTTTAATTGGTGTTCATTAACTTCCCTTTTAGTTAAATCATTGCAAATTTCATTAGTATCCTCATACAGAGCAACCCTTTGAAGATGGAGGATGGGAATAAATGAGATGGGAACTTGATTAACTGCACTAAGCACAATAATCCATAAGAAGCAGTGTTAAAATGCTCGACACTAAAGAAACAACCCAAATCCAGATGCACCTGCTATACAAGAAGGGTGCTCTCTTGGAGTGGGAGGAAACCTGGTGGGAAGATAAAAATAAAGACACAGAACAAAAGCAGTCCTTGCATTATTCAAATGTGCCCTATTAGATGGTTCAGCCACTTCTGAATTTTATTTTTTTCTTTTATTGTTCTTATTCTCCAAGCTGCACACAATGAAGTTTACAAGAAGAAAGATGCTGTCAGCAGCACATGTTAATATATAAAACATTTTCACCCAGAAGGATGATGCACATTTGCTTGTATTACAAGTGTGAAGACACAATACTAACTAGCAGCTTTCTGCCTTCATTCCAAATTACCATCCATTAATTAACTGAACTGTAGAATCTTCAGTCAAATTTCACTACATACACAAGCAGTCTGACAATGACATGCTAATATAACAGTCTAGATGAAATACAGCACTTTCTGTGTTTTGGCATAAGTTACTCCATAAGAGAATAGCCTTTTCATTCCACACTTAACAGAAAACATTGAATAAATTCACTCCAGAGTTTGCCACTTGCGAGTTACACAGTTTTCATTGCTAACTCAAGTATTCATTCATCTTCTGCACGATAAACACTTAATATTTTTGAAGTGAGTCCTTTCTATACACAGCAACAGCTGATTATATTTACCTAAGACATAAATAACCTTCAGTGTGAAGGCTGTTTGGGGATATCACCCTTATGTATGTTTTTTGTTGCTTTTGTTCTGAGTTGTATGCTTGACTTTCTGGGAATTTTAGCAGAACATAGCCAACTGGCATGATATAAGTACACGTGAAGTTATTGATCTCAGTCCATTTTTCTGACTGGCGAAAAGTTTTAATTTTACTTACACACTTGGACGAGTCTGTGGTCGTAAATGTGCCATTTGGTCAGTTGATCCTGATGTAGGCCTTTGTACTACACCTGCGGACTGAGGTCCAGAAGAGGCCGATGCAACGACTGCAGCAGACAAGAGAGGTGGTGGTGGAAGTGGAGGATTCATATTCTGATTTTAGGAGAACAACAAAAAAAAAAAAAATAGCAACAGCTGATCAACATTGTTTGATGAGTTGAATCAGTTGCAAAACCAAAGTATGATATTCAAGGAGATGGAAAGAACACAGCTGAGTTCAGTATTCCTTTACCTACTGGTACAATAGAACCGTACAGTTAGGTTTGTCTTTATTTCTCTTTTTCCAGTTTAAAATCTTGAAGTCTTGGCAGCTAATTAAGCAAGTCACAAGCAATTTCTCAGCACAGGAAAAACGGTAAGCTTTGTTTCCAATTGTAACATCTTTAGGATAGGACTCAATAAAAATTCAGAAGCCTTCCAGGAGGTAGATTTTGCATCCTACTGCTGACTGTACTTCAAAACATGATTGTTGTTGTAACCTGAAGTTGAAACATAATATACAATTCAGCAGCAGTGCACCCAAACCCACCCATTCTGGGGAAAATTTTCTTTTGATGTATGGGTCACAAAAGCGAGCACAATATGAGACCATAGTCACTGAGCTATTGTTACCACTTTCTCCTATTCTTCTAGTTTAAAGAGTTAGCTTTTGAAATTCAGTATTATCAAGATTGGTAATCTTTAACAAACACCCCAGTAAAAATGCACAGTTCCTTTACAGGCAGATCGTAATGGGGGTCCTGCCTACAGGCTTCTGTGCCTTTTGAGAATCAATGGAGCAATTGTTACCTTCTGCTCTGTAAAGCCTCAAACAATTCTTTAGGACCTTGTGTACTGACGCTCCTGGGAAAAGTCTCTCACAAAAGGAGAACTTTTCCTTGCCCCCATCCAAAAATAATTATTTGTGTTACAGCGCACACAAAAAAAAGAGTAAAAAAACCCCAACCTCCACACATTTGAAAATGTGAAATTGAATTAATTTCAAACATGATCTTTGACTTAACGCAATCCTTTAATATTGAAACAAAACTCTAAACCATGCCACTTCAGGTTTAAAAACCACATAAAAAATATGAATTAGCAAAATGTCCTGAAGTACTGCCTGGCTCTTCCAGTACACCAGCATATAAATGCACAGCATTACATTATCAGTTTGGAAAATAAATAATTGAAAGTCATTTTAATTCCGCTCAAACAGCCTACTTCTAAAGGTTTTGTTTTGCTTTTCTAAAAAAGAAAAAAAACAAAACACCAAAACCTATAAGGAAAATAAGTTTTAGTTCTACACTGTGTGATTATTACCTCGCTGCATTGGGTGAAAGTGTTAATAAAAAGACAGCTCTCTGAACTAGTCTTACACTCTCAAGATACAGCAAAGCACAGCATGATTAAAAGCTTTCAAATCTAGAGAAAACTAATTAACTCTTACAGTTTTGCAGCAAAAATTCTTATACTCAGTTATGATAGGAACTGCATGGTATATTGTGAAATATTCTTATTTTATTTAAAGTTTTTTTTCTGATTGTACTTTAACAATTTCTGAAGACCACACAGGCCTCGTGTATCCAACACAAAGCAGACATGACCTGCTGGAGAAACATCATTGTGAGCTTTGATACCAATAGTTGAGTTATTTACAAAAACGGCAATTGCATTTGCTTCACATTCTAGATCCCCATCCATCCAACAATCTTTTTAAAATATCTTGATAATTCATACTGAAATACCAACATTTCTCTTTCAGTTCTTTACAGCAGAAGCTATTTCCCCCTCCCAGTCAGCCTCAACAAATGTCTTATCTGAATCCAAGCTGAATGTAAGCATCTAACTTTTAGGCAACCTGTCTATAGAATATAAACTCAAATCTTTTTTTAGGCATCTAGATTCCTTTATACATGGTAGAACCTGCAAATCCACATTAGCAGATGATTAGCTGGAAAGTTTTAAAATTAAACCTATTCATGCGCAATATCAAGGTTGTCACGACTCCACACTTCCTATGTCTCTAAAGATGTAAGTGCTGGGCGTTGTGTTTTACTCATTTGAACACACAATATACATTGAATTTTTAGCTGCAGTAAAGGCACCTTCCCAGCTCTATTTTATTCTGCTTTATTCAGGTTCTGCTCCCCTCTCGGTGTCTATTAGTATGGTAACGAAACCAGCAGTGAGCCACAGCCCAATTATACTCCTGAAGACTTGGCAAGTACTTAGAAATCTAAATAAACTACCTGATAGGCTTTAGAGGACTAACACTCCTCAGCTTACACTGCTACAACTTAATAAAATAGATCCAAATGCTCTAGCCAAGTTTTCAAGAAGTTTTCTGGCATGTAACCCTTTTTCTAGCTATTGAGAAACATACCTACGTCCAGAGCACAAGCTAATTTTGATGGTTCCCATGTTCAACATTTTGTGAAAGAATATATGCAAACCCCATTAGTGATTTAATAAAAAACACTTATCAAAATAATTAAGAGTATTTTTATTTTAGATAGTTGAGGGGGGAAAATTAAAAGTTTCTGAAACTTCTTTTCAGACCACAAGTGTACTTTCAAGCATATAAAACAGCAAATCAGTGATAAAGGATTTTTTTTAAATTGGAAGATGAAACACTACATATTTGATGCTTAATTTGTGTAAAAACTTCAAATAGTACCTATACTCATGCTCTAGAAACTCATACGTATTGCTAAGTTTAAATATAATTAGGCTGCATTCCCATATCAGTCAACTGGAGATCAATAATCATCTCACCCAAAGAAAAACAAAAGGCACAGCAGAGGAAAAAACCCCATTCATTATCTGTCTTCACTCCCACAAGGTCTAGAAAAAAAAATATATGACTTGCAAAATCCCCTGAGGGCTAACAAATTAAGGCTCATGTTTAACAAAATTCCTAAACTATAAATATATGTTATCAAGAGCAGGCCTCATACGAACCTCATCGTTTCTTTCAGCTGCTTCCTCTCCCCAACAAAAGTCGATTTGAATTTTTGTTGGTTCGAACTCAGACAGTTCTTACTTAAACCTCCTTCTTACTTATGCTGTTGAATCAGCTGGAACTACATGAGAGCGCTAAATGTCATCGTTATACTACAACTCTCACAGCTTGTGCCTCATTAATAATAATTCAGACTACCTCATATAATTTAACATAGAGGGCAATTTTTTTTAAGTGTGTGGGCAAGAGAACAAGAACCAGAAAAAACAGGAGTTTTCTTTTTAAATTTTTGAAACCTTTGGCACGTGAGTGAACATAAACTATCCAAATATAGATTACCTATTTCTGTTAGTTAAGTGCACATACCAAGACACCATTTCAAAGTCAACTTATTCAATCTGCAGAAGTAGCAATATGGATATCTAGGTCGACTGCAGTCCAAAATACTTTTAACTTCTCAAGAGACTGTAAAGGCAGAATAAAAGGAAGGTAAGTTATCTGTTGTTGCTACATTCTGTTTTTCTTCTGCTGCTTTTGAATGTAACTTTAACTTTGCTGTGGTATATTTTGTCTCTGTTTTTCCCATATCATGGTTCAAATCACATACTTCCTTTAAGAGTTTTTTCAGCAAATTCTATGGCAACTAGATCTCCTCCATTAGATAACTACCTTATAAATTACATCCAAGAATTTCCTCCCAAGTAAATGGGCATTGCATAATTGTACGTGCATATTTTCACCCAACAACTACTGAACTTCACATCTGCTATTTATATTTTATAAAGAACTTCAAATATACTAAGCACCTACAAGGTTCAAAAATGCCAGTGGCCAAGAAGAGCAGGCCAATTAATGACACCATTAAGGGCAAAGTTGTGGTTTGAAGTCCCAGAGAACCGTGTGAGTGATAATATCAAGTCAAAAGCCTAAGCTGGGAGAAGTTTGTCTCAGTTCATAGCTTCTTCAATTTCAAAGAATCAAACCTCAAAACACAAAACAGGAATTAATGCTGCTGGCTAAAGAACTAGGCTACAGAACTGCTGCTGTAAAATAAAACTTTTAAATAAATTATCACAGGTTTTCTGAATGCAAATTAAAATTTGCTTAAGTGATACAAGCAGCAGATAGTATATACGGTCACTCGACAAAAGCACTCTAATTCCTAAGTCTTATCTGTGTCAATTTTGGCTACAAATTCGTAAATTAATTCCTTCATACAACGTTTGGTACCAAAGAGCATCTACAGAAGATTATTATGGACAAAATAAAATCAATACAATTGGCATTTTTTTGAACCACCATAATCTTTCCCAAAGTAACAGTGTAAACAAACTAAAAAGTGATCCTGTATGTGTACACAGATAAAGGACTCACAGGCTCCTCTGGGCTACAAATTAATCCCAACTGTCTTAGAGAAACTTGCTGCCCAACAAGACAGCTCAAAATATCTCCTCTTAACAATAAAAAAAAAGATGCATAAGTTCAGGATTAAGGTAAAGGAATATATCCTCCTTTACTTCACTGACGGGGAATCATGCTCATCCTTTCTGATTTTTTCCCCTTTAATATGAGTTTGGCCTGAAGTAAAAGAAGTTGTATAAATGGTTTGCTCTGAAAGAACAATCAATTACTTTAAATAGTGTTATAAACGCCAGAACGATTGACAGGAAGAAGATCCAATTAACCCATCTTCGTGGTAAAGAGAAACTCTCCCTCTTCCAGTCCAACTTCCTTGTCATTTGCTTAGTATTCAGAAATGAAGAAAAAGCTGAAGGGAGAAGCTTTGAGAAATGCAGGAGTTTATACTTACAAAAGCAAAAAATACAAAAGCGAAAGGACTCAAGCCAACCACTTCTGATGTATTAAATCATACAATCACAATTGTCCCGTAGCTTAAAATTAATGCTCTGAACATCAGGGAGGGTATTTCCAGAAGGGAAACATCTAGAGACACAAGAACTTCACTTTCTCTCCTGACCTGTCAGAACTGTTTTGCACATTTCTAAAATTAGAACAAGAGTTTATGAAGCAAGAGGAAAAGTGGAGGTAAAAGACACACTTCACAGTCTGTGACAATAAACTGGATCATCATCTAATATCATCTATAAAAAAGAACATGGGACTGTAGCCTGAGTTGTCAGCTCGTATTTTAGTCATGCTGAAAACAAGTCAAGAAGAAACAGAACATTATGTACAGAAGGTTATTGACTTTTAAAGAGGGTGGCAGAGAATAATTTAGATTCTCAATGGGAATTATATGCCTAATTGGAAACATAACCAGGAACATGGTTATCACAAAGAGAAAGTAGCACTCCAGGATACAGGATGATCATGTGGCAGGAGTTTCACTCCATGCTGCATTTAGCACTATAATTTAATTCCTGTGAGTACCGATGGTGAGACTGCTTTTGAACATGCTTATGCAACTAAAGCACCCGAGGTTCTTTAATGACTTTGCATCAGCACCAAAATAAAGTATTTTTCAATGTTGGCATCAAAGAACAAACTACTGATTCTTAATAACAAACAAAAGTGTTTGTTACTGAGAAGAGGGAAAAAAAAAAAAAGCAACTTCTGACAGAGCTTTTGAAATTATGCCTTTCTTTTTTTTTTTTGAAATTATGCTTTGAATCCTGCCTACCCTGGTTGGACTTGATGATCTTGAAGGTCTTTTCCAACCTTAATGGTTCTGTGATACCCCATCCTCTCCAAAACATGAGTGTCTCAGCTACAAATCAAACCAATGTGTTAGCTAGACTTGTATTCTGCCTAACAGCACAAATGGTACCAAAACTGATTTTGTTTGCTCATTTCTTACTGGTATTTTCTGAAGGACAGGATGAAAGAAGTATAAAAGATTACACGGATTAGTATGTAAGCAGCTAATTGTTTGTAGTATTAGATGTATACCCCAGATGCAAAAAAAAGGACCTGGGGGTCCTTCCTGATGGACACCAAGTTGAACATGAGCCAACAATGTGCCCTTGTGGAAAAAAGAAGGGTAATAGTATCCTGGGCTGCATTAGGAGGAGTGCTGCCAGCAGGTCAAGGGAGGTGATCCTTCCCCTCTCCTCAGCACTGATGAGGCCAAACCTGGAGTATTGTGTCCAGTCCTGGGCTCCCCAGTACAAGAGAGACACAGACCTGCTGGAGAGTCCAGGAAAGCATCACTAAGATAATTAAGAGACTGGAGCATCTCTTCTATGAGGAAAGGCTGAGAGCTGGGACTGTTCAGCCTAGAGAAGGCTCAGGGGAACTCATGAATGTATATAAGTACCTGAAGGGAAGGTGCAAAGATGACATAGTCATGCTCTATTCAGTAGGGCCCAGTGAAACACAAACTGAAACACCAGAGGTTCAGTCTGAAAGAAACAGTTTTTCACTGTGAGAGTGACTGAGCACTGGCACAGGTTGCCAAGAGAAGTTATGCAGTCTCCATCTTTGGAGATATCCAAAAGCTGTCCGGACACCATCCTGGGCAACTGGCTCTAGGTGGCCCTGCTTAAGTAGATGAGACTAGATGATTGGATGACGATGGTCCCTTCCAACCTCAACTGCTCTATGACATTAAACTATGAATCTAAATAGAAGGAGATTATTAACTGGTTCCAGATTAGCATACATTTAACAGTAGGATTGCACAGATGATCCACAGATTGAAGGAGTTGTTCACAATAAAAGGACACAGCATTGCTACTGCTCAACCTGCATTACCCTGCAAGGCAGGACGAAAGCACACTCTCTTTATAATTGTTAATAATAAGGTCATCTGTCTGAAGAACAAAGAATGTGAAATACACTTACCTGGATAAGAGCAATTACTGTATCACTAATGACGATGAAAACTTGTGGGATCATGGTGGATATTTAGCTGAACATAAACTTTGTGCTATGCTCAGGCCAAATGAATGAATACAAATTCTCAAGATACAAACATCAGACTAACAGGATAAAAGGGTCATACTATCAATATTTTCACCACTGAAAAAGACCCAGTTCTGGAATGCACTTACCATGTGCTTACCATGCCAGAAGGAAGTACTGGAGATAATTCAGAAAACAACAACATCACAATTTTAAGGACCGGAAAGCATAACTTAGAGTCACAAAGCAAGCTCTTAAAATGCAATCTCTCAGCTGCAACCCAGCCACATATAAGCATTTACTTAAAAAACAAAAAGTTGGTAACAGAAGACAGACAATTCTGCCTTCGATTTTGCAGACAAACGTGTAAAATGATCAAAGTGCCGAAAGTTGAAAACAAAACCAGACACATTTAGCAGCAAGGCTATTCATTATGTTTTACTTGCTTTAAAGGCTGCAAGGATAATTAGACACCTAAACAAGATCAAGCCTTGGGGTTGTTTGTTTTGTTTGTTGTTTGTGTTGGGTTTTTTTAAACAAAGTAGAGATTTATTATTCAACTGTGCCCCACCTCCCTACCCCTCCCCGGTTAGGGGCACAATTTTGGACTTGAAACAATAAATAAATTTTGAGAATTCCTATGGTCAAAATAAAGGCTCGTTAAGTTCCCTTGCAGATATCTGAAAATTGGTATCCACAACCTTTACTGCAGTTAAGGTCAGGATCTGATAAGTGCAGTATGATATAGAACATTCCAGAGCTTCTCCATCACAAGCACAGCAAAATACAGAATTTCAGTTGGTTTTGGAATGAAATCCTGCGCTTTTCGAAGACAATGTCATTTTCTTTGTCCAAAAGAAACAGCACTGCAGTGTATTCCTTCCTTTAGAAGATGGCCATTTGCAACAGTTTTTCATACTGATCTCCAAGAATCTAATGTTCTTCTGGCCACAGGTGGACACACAACTAAAATAATTCTATTTAATTAGGAGAAAGCAGAGTTTTGAAACTTACTTCAGAGAATCTCGATAATATTGAGCTAAGAAACAGAAATATGTGGCAGCTGTGGTCTCAATTGATTTTTTTTTTTTTTTTTTAAGATATTGCTTGTTTCCTCTAACCTTCCCCCCAGCATAATCTCTTTCCTACTCATGCTGAAAAGAAACACTGTTCTGGAAGAAAGTGTGCTTCTTGTGTTTACTACAACAACAAGAGGAAATCTGGAGAAATGGATATGCATGACAGGATGCAAACATTATTGTATCAATAATCCTTTGGCTATAGTTCAATGTAGACCATTGTCTACCACAAAGACAATAATAAACATAACAATAACATAATTTATTATTAAATTCATAATAAAATCATAATTTCAAATCAAAATTGAGACCAAAAAAAGAGACTGTACAGACCAAAGATAAATGGCAAGGCTGACTTTTCTTAAAATATACTTACACCAAGAGCAGCTTGGTAGGTAACTTCTGATGGGAAGGTAAATGAAGGCCCTGTTGTGACTGGGCTGCTAGGGGGTGGAGTCACAATTAGCCCTGTAGTACCGATATGAACCTGTCAAAGAAAAAAACCAAAAACAAACAGCAGGGTCAGTTCAGAGTAGTTTAATAAGAGCTGGTTTTGACACAGCTGTAAGCTTCATGGTCAAAATCACCAGTACTCTACTATCTGTAACTTTAGACAAGAATTAATTTTTTGTTAGATACTCATACAAACAGTATTGGATCACACCACTCACTTCTTTTTCCTCTTCCCTGATGTTTCAAACACTTTGGAGATACACTGAACTGGCAAGGCGAAACATACTTTTACCAATATTAGTTTTCTTTTTTTCCATAAAAGGCTGTCAGATCCCAAAGACACGCAAATAAAACATATTTACTAGCTTATATAAACTGCCACCAACATTTCTTAGCCTCCAGTACTCTTCTCCCAAAATGTAATCTCCATGTGAAACAGACAATTGTACAGAAAATACTGTAGCTTCTAACTAAACGCTTTGAAGAAACAGGAGATTAACAAATAAATAAAGCCAGATATATATTTCTATTAATCACAATCAGATTAATATGGTACATTTCTGGAATTCATGTAACTTTCAAGTTGAATCTACCTTTTACTTGCATGCACTTTATTAATATCCAAAATTATATTCAATTTAGAGAAACTCCAAGAAATTAAATCACTCCAGTTTCTAGTTTCTACAGTTTAATAATCTGTGGCACTTAAGAAATTAACAACTGTGACAAAAATTAGCTTACAAGACCAAAAATATTTGCTATCATTGTATAAGAAGTGCTGTAAAATGTTTTCCTTAAATCCTCTCATGTCAGAAAATAAACTTTGTGAAAGCGTAAGTTATTATTAATTACATATAATCAATAATTTGAAGTAATCTGACAAGATCAGAAGCCTGTATATTTATTAAAAAATACAATTTATTTATATTTGATTTCATGGAAATTACCTGAGAAGGGGCACTACAGGAAAGTCCCGTCAGCTCACTTATGCGGGCTGCTGCAGTTGGGTTGCTGGAGCTGATGAGGACAGGAGGACTAATTTCCATTGAGTGGCGATTCTGAGAAGACTGTGAAGACTTGTTGGACATAGTGAGGGAGGTAAAAGAGTGCCGTTTTTTGGTGTTTTTCTTAGTATCGGTGTGCTTTTGGGTTGAATTGTTGTGGGCTGCCCCAGAGGTACCTTCTCCAGAGTCAACAGCAGAACCTGAGGGCTTATCCAACTCTATCAGCTGTTTGGCTGCTGTGTTAAACTACAGAAGACAGTCAGACATTAGTATTTGTTTATAAAAATCACCCAAATATAACAACAACAAATCTATTTTCCTTGTATTCAGAATAGAATGTAAAACATGCAATTTAAAACTGACATACTGACCTAGTCTACAAATTAGCCATTACAAACTCAATGCACTTACTGTTGGGCTGGCGTGGACTATCCATCAGAGGTAAAATTTCAATCAATAAAGGACATTATGCTCTAGTCTAGCCATGGCTTAATTCAGCAATATCCGCTGCATGTATTATCTAGAAGTCAGATTAATCACAGCAGCTCCATTTGACCTTATAATATAAAAATCTGTATTACAAAATTTCTTGAATGTTCATTTCATTTTAAGCCTTTTTTGTTTTGTTTGTAACTATGACATAAGCCCACACCTTTGCATGTGGGCTCTTGAGGACATTCCTTCTAGTATCCCTTGGTATTTAGGCATGTATCTTTAACACTACCAGTAGTAAAAAACAGGCTTCCTAAATGTAGACGTAAGAAGACAGTAGGACAAACTAAAGATCCAGTTATATCAGTATACTGCCTGACAACAAATAGCTATACAAGCATAAGATAGTATAAGGAGAAAAGAAACATATATTGGCAATTCTGTGGAAATACCATCTCAGCTTCTGAATTTTTTACCCATTTTCCCACAAGTCTTAAGATACCTACTATACTCATTAAGAGTTTTAAAGCAGTATTTTACCCCATCAAAACTCTACTAGACAATATTTTTTAATATAGAAAAGGTTTTCAAGTGGTATTTGAAAGAGGAGATCTGGAAGGAAATTCCATGCATATACAGAAGAAATAGACAAAGTTCAAAACTAGGACTACTGGAACAATGAGGAGTTGACATAAAAACCTACTAGGATGTAACAGTAGGAAAATTAAGATCACAAAATGCTTGAAGAGGAAGAACTACCTAGAACATTCTGCAGTGGAAGAGAGGCATAATGGGGGATTTGAAAAGGGATATAAAGATGAGAAGGTAGAATTTTTTCCTAAATATTGTTATTGTTGGTCCTTTAGAAGGCAGCTGAAGAGAACAGGAAGTATAGGACAAGACAATGTATATAAACATTCCTAAGAAAAAGGTGAACGACAGATTTTCCCTGCTAATACTGGGCATGGAAAAAATAATTTTGTACCACTTGTGTAGTACAGAAGACATAACCATACAGCTTTCTCCAATTAACTTGCAAGCCCATTATTTAGACAATTTTTTTTATTTATTAAATCTAAAATTTAGAGCAAACATACTTTTAACACACCAGTGAAAACAATGTTATTTTATCACAGAATACTGATCCAATGCTGAAGGACACGAAACAACTACAAAATAAGACCAGAAAAAGCCTGCTCTGCTACTCATCCTGTCAGGGTCCTATCCTTCATCATGGAAGAACATGCAGGCTTTTCAAAGACTAATCATTTCATACATTTTGCACATTTTATTTTTTCCAATTCAGGTTGAAATTCTTCATGTCCTTCCTGAGAATCTGTGTCTTCCATACTGTCTTATACAATGGTTGCAACCACTTCTACTCCTTGCTAAATAAGGGAGTAGATTAGATAAGAGTCTGTTCAGAAATTACACAGATCAGAGAAAGAAAAGCAGTAGTCATTTCTAAAACAAGAACTACTTAATTGGAATAGTTAAGGGATCACACAGGAACAAAACACAAAACCAAAAGCCACACGCTGCTAAAAGCACCCCAATGTACCCGTTACACCTAATTATGTTTGTCTACCTCCTGAAGCTATTTGTACTTGCAGAATCTGATTTCTTCTATGCAGAAGTATTATTTCCTCTCTATAAGAGAAGAGTTAAGGCTCAGCCATGGGACTGATTCAAATATAAGTAATGTGCTTGCTTCTCTACATAAGAAAGCTCAGTACAAGACAGTAGCATGAACCTAAACATGGAAGTGAATTGCATTTTCTTAGAAACAACCTGAAGATAGCAATAGTTGCAGAGCATTTTGCAGAGTGCGGTATACTTCTTGAGAAGAGAAATCAAGAACTTGCATGCATTTTCTAATGAAATGGCTACCAACTATTCAAGGTCACCATGGGAATGCATCCCACTCATCACAGAATCATTAAGGTTGGAAAAGA